GCACCGCTCGCATACTCACAATGGCAGCCAGCATGTGCAAACCGGACCTCTGTGTTTGCCATCAGCGCATGGGTTTGTGAATCTCCAGAAAGGAGGATCCCTATCTCCATAAAATTGTATATGCTGGTGTATATGGCTAGGTGCGATGTACACTTCTCACCATACTGTGGAAGTCTGTGGCCAGGAGTCCTGTGCATGCCCGACTCAGTCTGCTGCCCAGGTGCTATCGGTGTGCACCTTCCACGGCCCAGTTCTTCCTCCTCTTCAAACTGGACACGAACAGGACAGCCCTTCAAATAGAAGGTTCCTCTGCAAGAGGCCAGCTTGCCATGCCAGGGGGGCTGCAGCCCCTGAAACCTTCTTAAGACAGCCGCTGCTGCTTCTAGTGTGTGCGAAGATGCCTGCACTGCCTGTAGGGCAGCGAGGAGGCATCTGCCCACGGAGACGCTTTCCCCACTCACTGCTCTTTCTCTGGTGCACTCCTGCCCAGAGGCTGCTGGGCAATCCAGCGGAGTGAAGCTTTCTTTCAGGGCGTACAAGTCTGGTGAGAAGACAGGCCTCACGTGGCTTGAGGCCGGGCTGCTTTTTTCCCCTCTTTCTGGTGCTGCATTGTTAGCCTCTTAATACAAACTCATTTGTGAACTATTTAATGTGAGGATAGTGGATATAATCACTACTGGATATTGTTAATGGCTCTTTTGGTATTTCATGTTCTTTTACAACATTTAAATGGCTCAGAATTGAACCAATGTTGGACCATATTATAAGGAGAGTGATGTATTTGCTCTTTATTTAGTGGGATTTATGAGCTGCTTACATTTTTAAAAAAAGCTATAGGAGGTGGTAGTCAATGCAGCCAGCTCCTCAAAGGATGTCTGTTGACTGATCGGTCCTTGTGCCAACCCCAAAAGTCCACTCCTGCCCTGTTCTCTCCACCCCTCCAAGCACCCACCTGGTTGCAACTACTCTGGGGGTTTATTGTCAAAAGAGCTCAAGAGGATTAATTAACTGAGAAGCCTGAGCATTGTAATTATTTGTGAGAATTGTTCATGCACTGCTCCCACATAAATTCAGCATTCATGTGCTGCAGCCAGGTATCTCTGCACTCTAACAGCAGCAACTTTTTCCATAAGCAGTCTTATGGCCTCGCAATGTTATCTGGAGGGCAGCAAGGATTATCTGGAGTTCCAGCCCCAAGAACTTGCAAACTCAGAGCTGGGGCTCCACCTGCTTCATGGCCAGCACAGAATGCACCACGCCCACTGCTGCCCCCGAGATTGCAAAGGAGCCTCAGGGAGGAGAAAAGGGGTGTGTGCGGGAGGAGAGGGCCAAGGGACCAAGGACTTAGGCCAGTTCCTATCAGCATCCCAGCCTCCTTCCATGCCCCCCCCCGCAGCCCCCAGCATTACATTTATTTTTATTTATTTAAGGTTTTTGTATGCTGTCCCATTACTAAAAAAAGTCTCTGGGCAGCTTACAGAGAGCGAACCCAAAGACAGAACTCATAACAACAACAATACACATCTTTTTTTTAAAAAAAGCACACAGCATCTAAAATACTAATAAAAGCAAGGATAAAACCAGTTAATTATTAAAATACTAGGAAAATAAAAAGGGTTTTGCCTGGTGCCGAAAGGAACAGAGCGATGTTGCCAGGCAAGCCTCCCTGGGGAGCATATTCCATAGTAGGGGCACCACCACTGAAAAGCAGTGGAAGCGATGCATTTGGAGCAAAATCAGGTGGTGGCAGAAATCACAGCCGCTGTGCCTCATTCAGGGCAAAGGGTGCAGGCAACCTCTGAGTTCAGAAGCATGCCTGCCTCGAGGGGGGCGAGGGGGAAGGCTCGTGCCTTTTGCTACTTAAGGGGGGGGGGGGTCTGGAATCACAAAATGGATAACGCAACAGATTTGGTAAGGCTTGAGCAGCCTCAGGGCTCATTGTTCCTGCCACTGGAGTAATTAAACTTGGACTCTTGATGTTTGTGGTCTTTTAATGGATTTCTTGCCTTTAGCTGTGGCACACGACTGTTGCAAGAACATATAAACCGTGACTCAAAGAACAGCAGCCTAGAAGAAAGTATTGTTGTTTCAGCTTGAGTGTTCACTGAAGGAGGAGGTGATCCAAAAAATTATAATTAAATTTTAAAAGTGGGAGGGATTGCATTCTGTATCTCGAAGCAGCACTGATAAGGAGGAAGGCCAGTGGGCCGGTTGCACCATTAGTCATAGAAATGACTATAGGGTTGTTTTGAAAGACCAGCAAGTTGCGAGTTATTCATTATTTCAGCAATCTGACTGCCAAGAGAGTGAAAGGTGCTTGTGTGATCTTCTGCCACAGTTCAAAATAACTTGGCCAGCTTTGGGGGCTCTGCACCATGTCTGTGGGGCAGACACCACTGGTTCTTCTCCCACAGGCCCAAAATAGCTTAGGCCAACCCTGTGCAGGCAGAGTCTGTACCTGAAGCCGCCCAGAGACAAACCGTAATGGACGAGTTAGAAATACCCTAATAAATAAATAAATAAGCAAGCAAGCAAGCAAGCCAAAGTGAAAGAGAGTTCTGGAGCCTAAGAGCCCATTAAAGTGGCCACTTGCACATTGCCAAACAAACACGGGACAAGAGAGGTCATGGATTTGTACATGTATAACAACTATAATTCAAATTGAATACACCTCACCGCCATGGGAATTGGTTTGATCAGGTGGCCTGTGGGCCTTCTCAGTCTGCTGGCCAAGCGGTAATGGGTAATTTCAAGTTCTTCTTTGTTTGCACAGCTTGACCTTGCGAGCAGAGCTGGACTGGCTAGCTCTTCAAATAGAGGGCAGCTTCTAGGCTGTCCATGGCCACTCTCGCCGATCTTTAGTGGGACAGAATCACGCAGAAGACAAAAGCAGCATTTCCAGAGAACAGAATGCATCCCTGTCTGATAACTAAAACTGCCTCCCTTCCCACCCCACAAAAGAGGGTCACTCCATTTCAACAGAGTAATCTTCCTGCTAGACTAGGGCGAAAAGCCACATGGGGCAGGCAGCCATGAGTGGCATCATGTGGAGAGAACGGATTGTGAGAGTCATAGTAAAAGCAATGAAGAGCAGCGATGGCACATCGGACTTTAATGCCCGTCATCTGTGGCACCAGAGGAACGGGTTGGGCATCGTGCACATGTTCTCAGGGTGGACTGGGATGGTCTGCTGAGGCTAGCTTTGATTTCCTGACGTTGCTACTAAAAGGAGGAATACCTCGGCCGTTTGCCTACATCCTGCAGATACGAGGGGATTGTAAGCCTCTGAAGTTAAAAAAGCCAGACAAAAACTCCAGTACAAAGCAAGGTTGCTGACTAACAGCAGGGACTTTGTGAAAGCCGTCATAACACTACAAGGAGCAAGTCTGCGGGAAATACAGATACCAGGGCGCCCTTCTCTGCAATCTCTCTCCTGCTTCTGAACCAGGCAGAGGCCCTGTGGCTTCTGGAACCTTCTCCGACCTCAAGGCCAGCATGGTTCCCCCCCCCCCCCCCCCCCCCCACACACACATGCATGCCTCTTCCTTCTTGAGAGGCAAAGGCTGGTCTTCCAACTTGCTGTTTTCATAGTGCGGAGACACTTTTTGCAATGCTGTTCTTACCTGGTTGCTTCTAAGGCTCATGGTTAAGCACAGTTGAGAGGGACAGGAGGATGGTAAACTTGTTGTGATGGGCTTTTTGCAACTTTTCCTTTGCAAACTTGTTATTTTTGTCTCTTCTTATGTGTTGCATCTACCTGCCCTCATGCATATGTGAGTCAAGGTGCTCTTGTGATTGTAATATTGGACAGATACCCTAGTCAAATCTCGTTATTTGCGGAGCTTAGTGGGTAACCTTAGACCAGTCTTTGTCATTCATTCATTCTTTCATTCATTCTTTCATTCATTTCTACACCACCCATCAGCAAAAAGGCTCCCTGGGAAGTTCACAAAATTGTAAGATACAATAATTACTATAAAACAATCATTATAAATTTACAGTACTACAATTAGCATAAAATACAATAAAGCAATGATCCACCCACAACTGCAGCTAAATCAATCTAGAGGTACCATAGTAAAATACAGTAAAAATGGAAATAAAAGTCTAACTATTAAAATATTGGGAAAATAAAAAGATTTTCACCTGGCCTGGCACCAAAAGAAACAAAACCAGGCCTGAAACCTGACTGAAACAGATTTAGATAATCTGTTTCACCCAGGAGTGGGTGAAGCTGCTTGGCTACCACCTGTTCAATCACCTTGCCCTGGAAGGAGATATTAGTGACAGGTCTATAATTTTTCATGTCCCCTGGGTCCAAGTCCAGCTTTTTAAAGAGTGGTTTGATCACAGCCTCCTTTAAAGAGGCTTGTACTACTCCGTCCTTCAAGGAGGCACCCACAGCTTCCTGGACCCAATTACAAATCCCTTTCTTAGTTTTAGCAATCAGCCATGATGGGTAAGGGTCAAGCATACAGGTGGTAGACCAAACCTTTTTTTGTCATCTAGTTCACTAAGTATTTGAAAATATAAAGGGGCAGACTTTGTCTGCTGCTGTGAAATCTTTGAAGAAATAAAACCAAAACCTTATCGCTGCCTCTTACCTTCCTCCTCCTGTTGTCTCCTTAACCTTCCACCTCAACCCAGATGTTTCTTAAGAAAGCACTGGAGCTAAATTAGTCATGACTAACATGTTCCATCAACTCCTATGGGTTCTAGTTATAACTATCTTTAGCTGCATTCAGGTCTTGCAATGTATACCATACACCCTTGGGATAGGAGCCTTCTTTTGAGGGGTTATAGTTTTTGGACAAATGCCGTATGCTCCAAAGGTGCTACATCATGATCATTATAGATGGTGCAAACCTAAGGAAGAAACACTCTTTCTGCAAGAACTGTATTCTTCTAATATTCTGAGATAGGACATTGCCCTCTGAAAGTTATGCTGTAGTCCATGAAATAAAATCAAACCATTATATTAAGAACATCCTGTATTTTACCTCTTCTCCTTCTTCAATGTGATAATCTTTCCTTTGGTTTGGTCCCCCAACAAACATTATATTGAGCTGACGGCGGTGCCTGCAAGATAGTTTTTAAAAGTCAGATTTGTAAAATGGATCATTTATAAACATTTCTTTACTGCCTTTTTTCTTAGAATACACAGAGCAATGAACAACTTTTTGTTATTCTTTAGCCATATGAAACATTAAAAAGTATCAAATGAAAATACTAATAAAAAAAATGACAATGTAATTCAAAAAACCACCAACCCACCAAAGTTTGGCAAAGAAAGTACATTAAAGGGAACCAAAAAATTAGTAGTGACTCCCTTCCCCCCATGATTGATCTCCATGGAGAAGAACTAGTTTTGCACTCAGAAGAAACACTGCCAAGACTCCAGTCTGGATTTTTAAAATAACCCTCTTGATTAGTATTTGATTTTCTCTTCACTGGGGTTGACCGGAGACACAGATGAGATAGAATACTGTTGTCCACTTCTGACTTCCTTTAGCAGAGAAGTGTACCATGACAGGCCTACCAGGTTTGGGTTAATTTGGATGAAGGATAACTGGATATTATGGACTCTTTGGCTAGATACGACAATATTTTCCCTTTGTATTCTCTCTCCAGCAGCCCTTGTCCCATGTGCCCAGCACACTAGAGCAGATCTGAGAGAATGCAGGGGCGAGAGTATTTAGTTAACCAGCCATGTCTGTTCTGCTAGTTCTGCTGCTGAAAAGATGTTGTTGGATGCACCTCTTTGTATTATTTGGTTTATTTACAAATATAAAAGCAGTACACAAACAGGGACAAAAGTTAGCAGATCCTATCCCACAATTAACTTTTTTTGAAAGCTGTTTTGGCCTCAACACACATGGGTCAGGCAGTTAAATTCACACATGGCACACTTCTGTGTCACTCAAAACTCCATCTTTATTGAAAACAGTAAATAACTAACAAACACAGACTGCTTCTTTATGATAGAGGCTGATGAATCAATAAGCTGGATGGGTGAGATGAAGTAGGCTGCTGAGATGAACACATACATAAAGGATATCCTGGAACAATTATAAATGCAAGGCTGAGGGTGCAACATGACAAAGTAACATAATGCCCAGTTGAGATGTAACAAATAAGCCTAAACTGCAGTTTAATCTTAGAGAATGACCCTAAGCTCTCTCTAGGCTTACATGTATCCCCTCCTCTTCCATATTTCAGGAGGGGTATGGAAGCTTTCACATTGTGAATCACCCAGCATTCTGTGTTGACCCGGCCCAAATAAACTGCAGTTCATCTTTGTTGTTTATAAAGTTACTTTTTTCATCAGTCACTGTAAAGATTAACCACAGTTTAGCTGTCTAGATGACACAATAAACTGCAGTTGATCTAAAATGGAAGTTGTTCTTATCTCCTTATAGCCATGACAGAGGAGGAAAGAAGAGAGGAAGTCATCATGCTCATGAGGCTAAACCATGTTTTAACATTGCATCCAGAATTAAAGAAAAGCTGGAGCCTAAATCATTTTGCCTACAGCAACCTCAGAGCTCTCTTTTTCTCTGTCTTTGAAAATGCCAAGTGCTATTTTACTTGCACACCTCTTCCCTCAGCTCAGTATCATTAATCTTCTCCATTAAGATTAAGCGACCATTCTGGGTTATTCCAGCAAACGTCCTAACAAAGGAATCGTTGGTTAGCAGCTGTAACAATATCCTAAATTAAGGAGAAGGGAATGAAAAGCTGTGAAATGCTCAAACCCTTCCCGTGTAGATTCAGACTTTTGTCTCATTGCACATTTCCTAAGAGTACCATGAGCTACTGGCATCCTTCTTCTGCTGTGATTATAATTCCTTTACACCTCTTAGTAACTGGAAAAGTGTCACATGTGTTCTCATTTGACAGGTTCCTTCTTTGAAACTTGGAGATTATTTTTTGGTGAGAAAAATATTGACAATTTTTGGAGTTAAACAAACACAACGTCATGAAAATCATCTGTTCTTGTAATTTGCAATACGAAGGCCCTTATAGCTTATCATCTTTAGGAAACATCAGATTGTCTTAAAAATATGTTTAATTAGGATTGAAGATTGCTGCATACTTAACATTGATGATAGTCCTTTTATATCTACAAAACAGCATATAAGCTTGTTGTGGCCAACTTGCAAAATTGTTCATGGCCTTACCTTTGACAGATACTTATTTCATTCTTCTTAACTTGCATAAAGCTTTACAATAAAGATTTAACTTTTACACAGATGAATATAATTTACTTCCCTAAGTAATGCGAAAAGAATACTATTTACTTACATAAGCTTATTGCATACTGGAGGCAGAAAAGCATCTCGGTTTTCCTCTACCCATTTTTTTACATTTACAAGCAACTTCTCCATGACTCTTGATAGTTTGTACAAATGTATTAGGCTGGGACAATAATAGTTAACTGTTGTGAGGTTGCAAGTTCCTCCATACATTTACGAAATGCAAAATAATCTTACTATGTTCCATCTTCCAAAGGTTAGTTTGTTCAACTAATTTTATTTCAACAACTTAGCTAATGATCAACTTGTGAGTGAAAGGCACATCTGAGGCCGCTTTGGCATGGATGTTTCGGCAATGGTGATGAACCTATTATTCATTTTATTTGTATACTGTCTAATGGCTGGAGCTCTCTAGGCATTTTACAACAATCCATAAACGATAATAGAAAATACAAATAACGATAACATCACAGCATTGCACTACAAAATATAAAACCAAATTTAAATTATGAATTTAAATGATTTAAATAACTAAGACGAGTTAAAGCAACAGAAAACAGCTAATATAATGCCCCATATACTTTGAAGCTGTTAAGAGCCTGTGCATAAGGGAAATTGTAACATGGCACCGAAAGCATGGCAGAGGGGGTGCAAGGTGAGCCTCAGTGGGAGACTTGTTCCATAATTGGGGGGGGGGGGCTGCCACTGAGAAGGCCTTCCTGCCTCCTTCACAAGTTAAGAACACCCCCGTAATTGCATTGTCTGGACAGACTGTGGTTGGGAGAGGTGCTTTATCAAGTACTGTGGTCCCAAGCCATATAGAGATTTATAGCTTAAAACCAGCACCCTGAATTGGGCTCAGAAGCATGTGGCGGCCAATGCAAGTGGGCCAGAACTGGCGTTATGTTTGGACTTTTTGGTTTAGGTTATTAGTCTGGCTACTGTGTTTTGCACAAGCTGCAGCTTCTGAATAGGCTTCAAGGGCAGCACCACACAGAGTGCATTGCAGAACATATGTAGATTGCAGGGATAAACTAGGTCAGTGATGGCGAACCTTTTAGAGACCGAGTGCCCAAACTGCAACCCAAAAGCCACTTATTTATCGCAAAGTGCCAACACTGCAATAAAACCTGAATACTGAGGTTTTAGTTTAGAAAAAACAACTCACAGCCAGTCCAAGGATATATATATATATATATATATCCTTGGCAGCGCACTGACCACATGTGAAAGCTCAGATGAGTTGTGGCTAATGAGTTGTGGTTTGTGATGTCATCGCCTGGCACCGCTACTCCTTTCCAGGCATGCGCATGGCCCCTAAGTGTGCTGTTATCTGATGCTCGGCTGCTGGGGTGATGCTGGGGCGACTTGGCTTGCGTGCCGACAGAGAGGGCTCACGCGTGCCACAGGTTCGCCACCACTGAACTAGGTTATCCCTGTCCAGATAGGGGCATAGCTGCAAAAGGCAGTCTGTGCAACTGAGGATATGTGAGCCGAAAGTGACAAAGATGGTTCAAAGCTGCTCTTTCAAATGGAATGAAACCAGATCCATAATAGAAGGATAGAGTGTTCTCAGTCCAGTCAGAGGAACTGCCTGCTAACAGTATTGTCTGTTATTCAGAGGAGCTCAACCCCTTGTTTATTCATCTGAATAGGCACACAAGACCGATACAGTCTCATGTGTGAATTTTTAGGAGTCTGAGCATCAAAGTCTTCTGACCTTGGTGCTCAGACTCCAAAGGCCATGCCGCTGTACTGCCCCCTTACGGTCGATGTGGAATAAACTGTACTGGGCTTCTCCCCTGGTCACAAGTGGGCCTCTGAGGAGGACAAGCCGGATGCTTGGGGGCAGCGGGCTGGGGCAGTACAGTTCTGCTGAATCCAGCGAGTGCCACGGCCTTCTTCCCTCCCACTGCCAGGCCAAACCAGACAGTGGAAAACAGCCATGTAGACAAAATGCAGGGCACGGTGTATAGCAGTGGGGAACATTGCCACTGCTGTGCCCCACTTCTTGCACAGGATGCTCATAAGCACCTGCCACAGGGGATCTGCCACAAGGGTGATAAGGCCTGCACCCTGAAGGAAAATGCTGCAGCAATGCTATATACTCTGGCTCTCCAACCACTACCTCTTGGCAGGCACCCAAACATGTTGGCTACTGACCTTGAGTCTCTTGCTAAGGCCCAAGGTTGCCCTTGCTAACTTGCAAATAGCCACACTACTTTATCATGGACAAGGGATTCCCAATCATAATAATGAAAAGATGCCAAAAGGAAAATGCTTCTTACTCCTCCGTGCCTCCCCCAGTTGTTCTCTTCTCCATCTAGCTTCCTGTATAGAAAGAGCTGAAGGATCCAACAGCGATCCAACTCCAAGAGTTTTGCTTGCTGGGGCCATGGGCATGGGTTGCAGAAGGACCAAGGCACTGGTGCCATTTCGTTGTGAGACTGCTTGGCCCTGTAAGATCTTAGGGTCAAACAACCTTATGGACGAAATGCCAACTATGACACAGGGAAAATTTCCACCAACTACTCTTCACTTACTTTAGAATATGTACAGTAGTCAGAAGCAGAACCACTGTTAAGATGTTGACAGGGCAACAACCAATGTGCTAAAAGCATCCACTATGTAAGCAAAATCTGCGTGAGAAAGAAACAGTGCAGAAATGATCTAATTATTCTGCAGTTCCAACACAGGCATTTACTCAGCATTTAAACTCTGTGCTAAGCAAGCAGGGAAGGCAGGTGTAACACAGAATTTTAGAGCCAGACTAGATATTGGGTAGCAGGCATATATAATGTTTTCCTGACTTCTTAAAGTAACTGCAGAAGGGCAACTGGGGATGAAAGAGAACTAATTTCTCTCCAGTAAATTTTCCACTCAAAATGCCTTGTCCAGTTTCTTTTATACCAGTGAGAAAGACCACAACCATATATTTTCTTCTGTACATAAGAAAGCACATGGAGCAAAGTTTGATTTTCAGGAGAAAAAGGAACAAATTTTTGAGCAGATCTAGATGTTCTTCCTTTGCCATTTTTTCTGCCCATCATGACTAATTTTCTTTTTTATGCCAGGAGACTATTTGCCATGTGATTTATAATTTAGCCCTGAATATACTGATAAAGCTTAAACTAAAGCACATTATTAGGAGAAAGGAAAAAGAAGCCATATCAGTTGGTCATTTTGAGAATCAGTTCACTTCTTTTAACAGGCAAAAGAATTATCAAAGGGATACATTCTGGCATGCATGCATGCATGCATGCATAAATAAATAAATAAATAAATAGACTTATGTGAACATGACATTGATCAAGTTGTTTATCTCTATACCTATGCATGCATTAGAGTGGGCTCTAATCCACAAATGTTTGAGCCAAAATAAATCTCTTTAACCTTTAAATGTTAAAGTTTAAGGCAGAAGTTATGGTGTGACATGGTTGCCCTTCTTCTCAGAGCCCTCTCACCCCTCAATTACTTTTCACTGTTGGCCTTAGGGCAGTGTCCCTGGGCATACACTGCAGATTCCTAGAAAAACAACCACATTAGACTACACAGCAGAGAGAGAGAAAGAGAGAGGTTATTTCTGGCATCAGTAAATACTTGAAAGAAAGGAAGACTACTTTGGCAATAGCTTTTGTTGGCCACAGATAAGAGTCATTTATTTCCCAGGTAGCCATCTTCCTTTCCCTCCTGCCTCCATCCCACAAGAGTTGCCATCTGTTTTCTATAGCTGATACATATTTCTGGAGCACTATCTACAGGTAAAAGAAGGCTAAAGACTGTGTGTGTGTGTGTGCAGCGTTGAGTGTCCAAACAAGTGTCAATCCACATTGTTTTAGAGGGGAGTAGTCTTTATGGCATTACAAAGCAAGCGGTTAGCAATAAGCAGTATTAAGCTGGCAGTTAACTTTTTTAAAAAATGAAATTTTGCAACAGAATACTCAAGGTTTTGGGAGTGGTGTTCATGTGGACTTGCCCCTCCCCCCCCGCGTGGTTAACACAGAGGCACTTTTTAAGAAATTCAGCCCTGATTAGTACTAAATGGCTTGCTGCAGCTCAGGGAGATCTCACCGCTCCGATTCTGCCTGTCCATTTCTAGTCTTTACAGGAGAGAGTGCCTTTCCCTGCCTATTGCACAATGGCTTTTCCTTCCTAAGAAAAGCATCACCCTTCTGCACCCTTTTGCAAATAGGTGCTTTCCTTCACTACGTAGTGCCAAATGGAGCATCCTCCTAGGCATGCATTCCAGGCCTTCAGCCTTCTTAAACGTTCTGAACTTTTTGCCACCCAAAAAGGGAGGCGGGGGGGGGGAGGCTTTCATTTGGTTTTCAAAATGCAAACTGTTTTTTAAAGGTTGTATAAAAAAAAAAAAAAGGAAAAAATGCAAGCAGTCAGAATGTGGGGAGGCAGCAGACCTCAGCTACAAGTTGGAGAGAGTTAAACGACCCATGATCGATTCCCTTAAGTCTCCTGCAAACCCAGGAAGACCCGGCCTGGGCTCAGAGCGCGTTGCGAGAGGAGCGCTGAAGCCCGGGCAGTGCTAGGCGCCAAAAGTCCAGAAGCCATCAAGTCCAGAAGCCATCCCAAAATAAAAGCACAAATCTTCATATGCTAATTTTCATATGCTATGACGTCTGTCCCCCCTACTTGCACGAAGGGATGTAGGGGCTGAGGGGTGTAACTGAGTGCAGATTTTTTTTTCCCCGCAGCAAGAGTCGAGGTGGGGCAAAGGACGAGCTGAAGCCCCGCGGGCAAAGCGCCTGCTCGCCGCGGGGGTCCCGAGGCCACGGAGAGCCTCCGGACCCTCCGCCGTGCCCGCGGCCAGCAGCGCGGAGGGGCGGAGGGCTCAGCAGCTGCGGGACTCCGGCGCGAGGGGCCGGCCGCTGACCCCGCCTCTGGGTAGGGCGCCTCGCCCGCCCGCCCGCGCGCCTTCCCCACAGCGGACAGAAAAGGAGGGAAAGGGCCTCCGCCGGCATCGGGACAGAGGCGGGGCGGTTGGCGGGGCGCGCCTGGGCGAGCGCGTCCGGGGCTGTGCGCGCCGCCGCCGCCGCCTTGGCCCGCCTGCGCCCCGCGGCCTTTCCCGGGTCCGTCGCGGGCTCATTTCCCCCTCCGGCGGGGGAGTCTCTGACGGGCCTCCCCTCACGGCCCGCACCCCCGCGCGGCGCGGCGCGGCGCTCCTCTCCCTC